TGTATATTGTATTATTATCATTCTGTGCATTTTACATTCAATTCCTTCATAGTAGCCTAACAGCTGCACCCCAACCTAAGACTATTAAGAGTGAAATGAACAAAGGTTAACAAATGTCAGATTAAGAAGAATTCTATGAACATACAATTCACATACTACAAAAATAACTAGTAATATTTGAGATAAAGCACTTCATGTAGTTTTTGGTTAAGTCTGTATAAAGAATACAATATTTTGGGGATCCCTGGGTGGCTCAGCGGTTTAGCGCCTGCCTTCGGCCCAGGGCACGATCCTGGAGTCCCAGGATCAAGTCCCATGTCGGGCTCCTGGTATGGAGCCTGCTTCTCCCTCTGCCTGTGTCTCTGCCTCTCTATGTCTATGATGAATAAATAAATAAAAGCTTTAAAAAAAAAAAAAGAGTATTTTTAAAAAATTATTTTAAAAACTCAAAACTGTTTAAGATGCCACAAAATGAATTTTGTCACAATTAGCTCAAAATTATTCATTAAATAGTACTGCTATTTACAACTAAAATTCATCCAAAAGTTATACCCTAACAATTATAATACGATATAGCTCTTAGACACTGTTGTGAAGACTACAAGGATTCAATACAAAAATGCACACACCTTGCATTTTTAGAAGGGCTATTTGGTCATTCAAGACCCAGATTCTCACCTGCAAGCAACCAGCAGGAACAGTGCTGATACAGAGAAGGTGGAGTATGTCAAGGTTTACAAAAGACAATCTGGGTTTATGCCTGGTAAATATGTGTGTGTGTGTGTGTGTGTGTGTGTGTGTGTGTGTGTGTGTATATATATATATATATATATACACAAATACTGCCTGCACACAAACTATCCTTGCTCTTTTACTTTTCTTTAGCCTAATACCTACATTAACTATCAAACAAGTACTTTATCTTTATCTGCCTGACCCCAGGATGCAGTAACTCCCGAATAATGTTAAATAGCTGCAAAAAAAAATTGGCATGTAAGAGACTTTATGAAATAGAAATAGCAAGGACAATCCTACACAATTCTAGTGGATTAACTACTTCAACAAAATTCAAGCACCATGTTGTCCAATCTTCCAAAGTTTCAAGAGGATTCCCAAACTCGTATTTCCATTTGAAATTGACTGACTTAAATGTTGCTTCAAAAATAAAACAAAAATGAAAAAAAATAAAACAAAAATGCAGGTTGCTGCTAGCTTGACTCCTCTGGGGAAGTGCAATCATCTGTGAAAAATTCAGTGCTCTTAGCATACCAGAATTACACCTTAATCTTGAAATTCCTGGCCCAGGAAGGCCACAAACCTTAACTCTGGGGTTATCAGTGTAGAAAATTAACCTTTATCTGAGACACAGCCACAGTCCTTTGTTTAGGACCCTAAAGCTTCTGGATCAGGAGATACAAAGTATTATTTATTTGAGGGTCCAGAAACAAACTAAGACCTAGTGTACTTAAAGAAAACCTGGCAGTTAAATATACTACACATCCTGTTTTACAACACAGAACACCGAAATACACTGTATCTTTTAATTCATTTAATATAGTTTTAATGGGCTTTGACACCAAGATTTTCTGGAACCTCCCCTTCTGTTACATTTAACATTAGACCAGTCTCAGTTAGTGTTTTGTTATTCAAAACTGTCATTCCGCTAAATGAAGTATAGAGACTTAACATTTTCCACCCCACCCAAATTTGCTGCTCTCCAATAAGCATACAATCTGAAGCCTAAGGAGAGCATTTTAAATTTTTTATCCTATTTCTATTGAGTAGAACAAATACACTGGAATACCAAATACATAGTCTATGCTTTCTAAAACTCTAAAGTGGACCAAAATAAGGTCAACCTTTGGGGCATCTGGGTGGCTCAGTGATTGAATATCTCTGCCTTCGGCTCAGGGTGAGATTCCGGGGGTCCTGGGATAGAGTCCCACATGGAGCTCCCCGCAGGGATCCTGCTTCTCCCTTTGCCTGACTCTCTCTCTCTCTCTCTCTCTCTCTCCCTCCTCGTAAATATATAAATAAATATTTTAAAAACAGTCAACCTCTTTCTAAGCACTCACTACAGTGAGGGCTATACTACGTACATAGAACATGTGTATGTATATATACAACTGTGTGTGCATATTTATATGTACTTGCCTGTGTGACTGTGTGTACAAACAAATTAAATGGAGAAAACTCTTAGCTTTGGATAGCAGTAACAAACGTCTCACAGTTACCAATGGAGTCCAACCTTGGAAGTCATTTATTCAAGGCACTGAGTCATGATTAACTGTTGTTCACCAAGAATCTGGTGAACAAGAGAGACACACTCTTGGCCCTGATGGAGCTTTCAGTCTGGTAATGTGGAAAGCACGTTACTTATTAAAGTGGTAACTCATTATCCTCATTTTGGGTATATTAAACTTTTACATTGTTTTTCGGAGAGAACTTCCTAAGAGCTTAAGAAATAAAATGAACACAAGAGGTTTAAAATAGAAAAGACATGCATTCCTTACATAGAAAAACTACCATTAGTTAACACCACCAACATTCCAGTATCTTTCAAATCCACTTTTTGGACATAGAATCACCACAGGAATCAGAGGGAGTTGGCAATTTGTCATATATAGGTTTCAGCTTCTAAGTACGGGTATTATAGAGCATTATAAAAGTTAATGTCTGTTATACAGTTAATGTACAAAGCCCAATAATCCAAGGACTCTATCTATAACCAAGTCTTTTAACTGTTCTGTGACTAACAGCAAATTTCTGCAACTTAAGTTCAGTTCTTATCATGATTCTACACCATTCATGAAATCATCTAAGGCCTGTGACAAGTCTAAGATTCTTAGAGAGCTTAACTTTATAATTTCATAATGTTTCATATAAGATTACTAATGACAGTAAGTACTTCACTTCCCACTTTTTCTTGTTGAAGTATGGGAAGGAAGAGTGAATTAGGTATTCTAATTCTGCTTATTATTCTAGTTGTGTGACAATGATTAAGTGAGACACCTTGGACCTTAGTTTCCTGATTTGCAAAATAAGTTATCCTAGAAATCTTACTACACAATAAACAATTCCAAGTTTGTATTTGCTAGCTTTCCCAGTTAACTAGAGACAATCTTTGATCTAAACTATAAAGGTAAGCACTTATATCAGAGATTTTAAAATAGATGTAAATTCAGCTACAGAGATTAAGTTTTTTAAAAACTACACAAATGTAAGATCTTTCAAAAGCTGGATGACTTATCCTAAGTATTGCTAATAGGTGGCATTTTAAGTCCCTAAAAATGTTATAAAGTGTGTTTGGATTGCACTAAATCCATTTCAAAAAAAAAAAATTTTTTTTAAACATAGCCTACTTCTTTCCACAATGTACATTACATTACTGTATCTACTTCATTACTGGCAACAATTATGTTCGTTTTAACAATGAATTCTTGGGAAGTACTTGACTTACTCATTTTGTATTTGGTCTATTTCACCCACCACAACCACCACCCACTCCCACACACACAGCTCATAGATTACATACACTCTGATACAAATGGTGACCGAAATAATTTGTTAATTAAAATCATCTACTTTAATAACTGACTTTACTAGTAATTAAAAGCAGTTTCTTCTCATCACTATCACCGTGCAACCTGAAGTGCACATTCCTTTCAAACTTCTCAAAGGGGGGGTGGGGGTGGGGAGGGGTAAGATTCAATGAAAATTCCTTACACTAGTGCAACCTAATCACTAAATTGCCTTAAGACAGCATCAACATCTGAAACATATTCCCACGTGCCACTTCCCAAGCCTGTCCCTATTCTTGAGCAGTTTGCTGAAGCATGAAGGCTCTTCTTCCTCTTAAAGAGAAAAAATAAAGAGATCATGGCCTACGTGCAACTTGACCCTAGAATCCATTTAACAAATCCCCCACCCCCAAGTTAATTAGCCACACAGACAAGTAGATCTGTGAGATCCAGAGCAGCAGCTGTGCCGTATTTTTTTTTTTTTATCAACTATAACCTTTCCAAAACTACCAAGGTAATCTTGAAGTTAGAAAAAGACCCCCCCCCCCCCAAAAGCAGCATCCAGTGCAGATCACTCGCTAGACGGGTAATGATCCGGGATATGTACTCCTACCTGTAGGCCTGGGAGGTCGGTATTTCAAAGCACATGACATTCCACTCTGCCAACACCAGTTCTTCCTGTATTTCACTGTACTGTTATTCCTACAGCTTTCTATAAATTACTCCCATTTGTTCCCGTCGTATCCTTTGGGGGCTAGCACAATTTGTTTCTATCAGAATAGCGGCCAGGATTTTCTTTCCTTTTTTTTTTTTTTTTGTGTGTGTGTGTGTGTGTGTGTTTGTGTGTGTGCGTGTCCGCGCCAAGTCTACATCAGATAAGTATCTTTCCAAACATAACGTCTTCCAAAACAAGGGTCCGAAAAACCAAAAGAGCAATTCTTGCCACTTTGCCCTATTTAACAGGAAGCGCCGTAAGTGACTTGCAGGTATTTTTTTCGAGACCACTAACTGCACCTGTAACAAACTTCTTAAAACACTGCTCTCCCAACTCGGCTGCCAGTCTTGATCGTGGCATTAAGGGCTCTCGGAATTCTGCCTAAAAGAAAGAGTCGTCCGGAAAATACGCATTACATCTGCATCACCCTACCAGGAAGTAAACCTGGGGGCCTGCCCCTCAGCCGCGCCCAGGACTGCGAAACGGAAAGGCAAGAGGGGGAGCAGGATTAAGAACCACCACCCGAGGCGACGCGGAGTACTAGGTCGAACGGACACCGAGGACGAAGAGGCAGGCCCGGTTGGGCTCTTCCAGGGAGTCCGAGTGCCCCGGATGGGCAGCACCGGCCGGGCGCGGGGCAAGCTGACCTCCCCGCCCCCGCCCCCGCCCCCGCCCGCACCCCCACCCCCACCCCGCCACGACGCCGCGGCTCACCCACCACTCCAGAGCGTCGCCTCCGCCCGGTCACCTTTCTCCGCACTAACCTTTCTCCTCCCGGCTGTCGGCCGCCATTGCTCCCCTCCTATTTCCGCCGCCGCCGCCGCCGCCGCCGCTTCGATGCGACTCGCGCGGGCGCCGCAGCCGCGGCAGCCGTGGCTCGGGCACGTCCGTCAGTCCGGCCGCTGGGCTGCGCGCTGCTCACTTGGCCTCCGCCGCTCACCCTCCTCACTCGCCCTTTCCCTTCCTGCTCCTTCCCTTCCTCCTTTCACTGCAACCCCTGGCGCCCCAGGCCCGGCCCTGTCGTTGGGATTCGGGGACGGGAGGGGGCGACGGGGAGGGAAGGGAAACAGATGGCGACGGCGGGCGGCGCTAAAATGGAGCCTGCTTCCTGCGCGAAACAATCCCGCTCCCGAAATGCCCTGCGCTGTTTACGCTTCGTTCCTCCCTGGAAGCGTCACAGTGCGGAGAGGGGCGGGGCAGGGGAGCGTGGTCACGTCGTCACGTCGTCACGTCGCCCCGTCTCCCGCAGCCCGGACGTCCGCCGCTTGAGGCTCGGCTCGGGGACTGGGTCGCCCGGGTCGCCGCTTGCTGGGCGGTGGGCCGCGCGGGGTGCGCCCGGGTGGCGCCGCTTCCTCCCTGGAAAGGCAACAGACGGGCCCCCGTCGGGGCGAAGGCGCTTCCGGCTGTGCCGCGGGACTGCAGACTCCGCTCGAACCCGGGGGCGGGAGAAGCCTGGGCCGCTCCTTGGCGGCCGCCTCTTCCCACCCGGTGCCCGAGGCCGAGCCAAAGGCAGCGCAGGATGCAACCGGCTGACTCGTCCCCAAAGAGCCTGCTGCTTTTGCTGTTGATTTGAGGGACTTAGTTCTGGTGTATCTCAGTATAGCTTTGTGATGCAGAGTCCCAAATGTGATTTAAACACTTACCGAGGCGCTGGGGGGCACACGGTCGGCTTAAACAGACTTTTGAGAAACTGAAACCACAGAAGTGGCCGAAAGTTACCTAACTACATGATACGGTAAAATCTGGGAGGAGGGGGAAAAAAAAAATCTGCAAGGAAATCTTCATAAAGTTCATAGTCCAAAAAAATAAAAAAATAAAAAAATAAAATAAAAATAAATAAATAAAAATAATTAAAAATAAAGATGAAAAATAAAAATAAATAAATAAAAATAAAAATAAATAAATAAAAATGAATAATAAAAAATAAAAATAAATGAATAAAATAAAAATAAATAAATAAAAATAAATAAAAAATAAAAATAAATAAATAGATAAATAAAATTAATAAAATGGAAAAATAAAAATAATAAATAAAAATAATAAATAAAGTAAATAGATAAATAATAAATAAATATATACAAGTTAAATAAATTAATTAAAATAAAAAATATTAAATAAATAATAAAAAATAAAAATAAATTAAAATAAATTAAAAAGTTCATTGTCCAAAAGATTGAAAATGTCCCTTAGCTTCACTGTCCCATAACTGAGCTCACAAGGGAAGGAAATTTTGAAGGGAAGAAAGGGCAACATTGTCACATAAAAGCTAACAGCTTGTTCAAAGGAAGACAAGTAGTGTAGAGTGCCTTGGTTTTTTGCTGGCCTTTGTAACAAATTGAGGCCAAGCTCATGTCAGTGGGAGGAGCCCAAAGAGGGCCTGCAGGAAAAAGAGGAAGAAGAAAACAGGTAATGTAAAACCCAGCTGCTTATCAGACTCTTAGGAATGAAGGATAAACAACAGTATTTCTGCCCTTAAGGAATTCTCCAGTAAAATGTATGGAAGAAACAAGATAACAGAAGATTCGTGTGTAATAGGAATAGCTGAAAATTGTGTGTTCTTACTGTGTGCCCAGGTAGTGTTCTAAGTATTTGGCCTAGACAATCTAATATCATCTTCCAAAAGCCCGATTTTATTATTTCTAGCTTTATGTTACATAAAGGGAAAGTGAGGTAATATGAAATTAAAGTGCTCAAGGTCCCCAGGAGTGGTAACAAACATAATTCAAGTCCAGGCAATTTACCTCCGGCCCCCACCCAATTGATAGTAGAGCCTCAAGTAAAGGCAGTGTTACTGGGACTTTCAGGGGCATGTCACTCAGACTGGTGGAGGGTACAGAATAGAGTCAAGGAAAGCTTTCTGGGGAAGGGACAATTAAGCCTACCTGAGAACTGAAAGACTATTATTAACCTAGGAAGAAAGGGTAGAGGTGGTGGGTAGAACGATGTTTTTCAGGAAAAAAAGGTCCAAGGTGGCAGAGCCGCCCTGGTTGGATTCAGGTTGATATTCAATGGTTAGGTAAGAGAAGGCTGAATCAAGAAAAGCATTATATCATGTTCTACTCGCTTATTGATTCAGTCAGCGAGTGTTTTATTAAATTCCTGTCCAGTCCCAAATATTGTTACAGACTCTAGGGTTTAAAAATTCATTTATTATATAGAATCTAATTTCTTCAGGGAGTTCAACTTTACATTCTAATTAAGGAGACAAGACATAAGTAAACAAAAAAAATTAAAAAATCATGATGAACTCTATGAAAGAAACAAGTAAGAGGCAATTATAGCGAGGCAGGGTTGGGGAGGGGAGCTTTTTATGTGGAAAAACTAGTAAAGGCCTTATTGAGGTGCAGTTGAGACTGATACCTAGTAACAGGTGAAGAAAAGAGTCTTCCAGGAAGAGAACAGCACATACAAAGGTTCTGGGGGAAAAAGAGGCCATGGTATGGTCAAGGATGTAAGAAGAATGCCAATGAAAGGGATCCCAAGGGCCTAATCAGGACCTCGCCTGAAACAAGAGCAGTACAAGATTTGAGGAGACAGAGTTTCAAGGTTGAGCCCACTGGAGGGCAGGAATGGAAAACACCTTGCACCTTCCAAAGATTAATGCCTAGGGATCCCTGGGTGGCGCAGCGGTTTGGCGCCTGCCTTTGGCTCAGGGCGCGATCCTAGAGACCCGGGATCGAATCCCATATCGGGCTCCCGGTGCATGAAGCCTGCTTCTCCCTCTGCCTATGTCTCTGCCTCCCTCTCTCTCTCTCTCTCTGTGACTATCATAAATAAATAAAAATTAAAAAAATTTAAAAAAAAGATTAATGCCTATAAAATGTAAAACCAGTCATACATAAGTTCAAAGTCATCAGCACTCCTCAGAGGAAAACAAAATCTGGAGTCTCTGAAACATATTTTTCACAATACTCAACATTAAATCAGGCAAGACACAAGAAAAAAAGAATCAATAATCAGGCAAGACTAGATTACATTACACAGCTTGCAAATTGATGCCTGCTGATCTAAGATTTTCTTCGAACCAACACGGTGTTTGTGTGCTTTTGTTGACATGTAATGCTTTTAATCACTTTTCAATAAGAATCATCCCTCTCAATTGCCTTTACCTGGCCAATATTACTGATTGAAGTGTCTATGTATCAAGTGTGCGTTTGCCCTGGAAAAGGTCTGTAGAGTAAGGAAGACTCAATCCCAAGTCTTAAAGAATATCAACATAGGGAAGGCAAATATACAGTGTGAATCAAAGACATCTGATCATACCGGAAAACTGATCAGAGAATGCTAGGATCCTGTCAAAATGACTCAGAAGAGCTGCTAACTGAAGTGGCTCCCACTAGCCAAATATGAGACATTTTGTTCCTCTGTAAAGATAAAATTGCATTGGATTATGTTTCAATCGATAAATTCTATAATAGTTAAAAAGAAACAGGCCCCTCACTCCTCTTTGGATGATGCTAACTAAGGAACAAGTTATTTTAAAAACTTGTAAACAAAGAGAAATCATCATTAATCTTGTGTTTCCAAGTAGAACTGTATCTTGGGGTTACCAAGCAAATAGTTGATAAAGTTTCTCTATGAACGTATATGAGCTAATACATGGCCGGGGTGAAGCAATGATAAACCTAGGACTGCTATTTTATGACTATTAATGAAATACAGATCAAGGCAATGATTATTAAAGGTTGCTAATTTATATATCAGAAAGACAATCAGATTTTATGTGCCCCTTGATGGATATACATAACATTATCTATGAAATAATCTTGCCAAAAAACTAAACCCAGTGGTTTTTTACCAGGGAAAATTCTGTGCCATGGGGATATTTGGCAATTTTTGGAGAAATTTATGGTTGGCCCAACAGAAGAAATGCTAGTAGCTCATAATGGGTAAGAGCCAGGGGTACTGTTAAACACCCTATAATGTACAGAAGTCTAAAGCTATCCACATACACACCCCTACCCACTAACAAAGAACTATCTTACCCAAACGCCAATAGTGCTGATGTTGAAAAATCATGCTCTAGGGGATAGGAAAAGCACAGGTGAATAAGTTAAGTAATCCATACAAATACCATTAGCAAAATCCAGACAATAGGAAATTCTACAGGAGTAAGTATTCTATACATTAAACATATGAGAGATGTGAAAATATAAACAAATTAAAATATAAACCAGTACATGGATGTTATAGGTTGAATTGTGTCCCCCAAAAGAATATGTTGAAGACCTAAACTGAAGTACCTCAGAATGTAATCTTATGTGGATATAGGGTTTTTTCATATGTAACTCATTAAGGTGACGTAATAGTGAAGTAGGGTGTGCCCTTAACTCAGTAGGACTGGTGTTCTTACAAGAGGAAAAGAGACACAGTGATATACACAAGGAAACACGCACGTGACAACAGAGGTGGGTTGGGTGATAAAGCCAAGGAGCTCCGAGGATAACGTGCTAAAACCAGAAGCTAAGAGAGCCAAAGAAAGAGTCTCCCCTACAGGTTTCAGAAGGAGCGTGACCCTGTCTACATTTTGATTTCAGACTTCCAGCCTCCAGAACTGTGAGAATAAATTTCTATTGTTTTAAGTCACCCTGTTTCAGGCACTTTTTTTTTCTTTTTTTAGCAGCTCTATGAAACTCATACCTTGGACCTTATTTAGACGCTGATTTTAATACATGAGTACACACACAAACACATATTCATACTCACGTATACCTATCACAAACTTCAAAAACTGAGTGAATTAATTTTAAAAACTTGCTGTTGATTTTTTTTTTAGTTGTAATAAGTTAAAACACATATTCATACTCACGTATACCTATCACAAACTTCAAAAACTGAGTGAATTAATTTTAAAAACTTGCTGTTGATTTTTTTTTTAGTTGTAATAAGTTATGTTTTAAAAAGAATTCTTATAATTTCATGACACCCACTAAAATATTTGCAGATGGTATGATGCAGAATCCAAGATTTGCTTCAAAATAAGCGATATAAGAACAGAAGTTATAGGGTGGTTAGCTATGAAACAAGCATGCTTATGAGTTGAAAATGGGTGATGCATACATAGAGACACATACTCTCCTCTCTACTTTCTTAAAAATATACTTGAAAAGAAATATATTTGAAGTTTT